GTTCACGGACGACACATTGCTTGTACTTTGCCCGCCATGTCCCGTGCTCCCATGAGGTGCTCCTGTCCGATTCCTACTTGCCGTAGTCCCGCTACTAGGTCCTGCACCCATGGCTCGCCCCAGTTGTGGGCAATTGCTCCTCAAGTGTCCCGCCTCCCCGCATTGATAGCATCTCGGGGGATCACGACACTTCCCCGCATGGTTCCTTTTGCAGTTATTGCACCTTATAATGCCCGAGCCTTGCGACCTCGAGCCTTGCCCTCCTGGGCCTTGATTCGCCCGCGATGGTGGTGCGGGTGTTCTAAAAGACCCACCTCCCCCGTGGTTCTCCTTTTTGCTAGAACCTTGAGGGCCGGTGTTCTCCCATTTTCTCTTCTTCGCCTCCTCGGCGTTTTTCAGATTTCTTTCCTCCCATTCCTTTTCTCCTTTCAGGCCTTGCTCCACCACTTGACTAAACGTCATGTTAGGAAATTGTGTTGCCCGCTCACGCACGTCTAAGTCCAAGGCATCCCAAAAGTGATTCACCATCCGGTTCTCATCACAAGCATACTCTGGTATGAACTCCGCGAGCTACCTGAACTTGTGCTTAAGTTGCCTCATGGTATACTTGCCTCCTTGGGTCAAGTTGGTGTATTCCCTCCTCTTCAAGTTCACCTCGAAGTCAGAGTAGTATTGGTTGAAGAATTCCTGCCGGAAATTCTCCCAAGTGACATTCTCGCCATACTTCCCCTTGACTCCGTCCCACCACGTGGACGCCATCCCTTCTAGCAACCTCGTTGCTACTCTCATCTTCATGTTTGGCGGCAGCTGCATATCAAGAGCCGCCTCATTGAATCTTTTAATCCACTCCACCGCTACGGAGATATCTCCCGTTCCATCGAACGGCTTGCACCCCAAATCTCTCGCTTCTTTAAGGTACTTCGAGATCCTTATTATCGGGACCTCGACACCTCGATCTACTCGGGACTCTACATGTCCCCTAGAATCCACATGGCTTCCTCTTCTTGAAGCCCCTCCCAAAGCACGCCTTGCACGGCACCTTTGGCGATCCTGTTGATATTGACGGAGTAGTTCCTCCATCCTTTCTAGAGCATCATCATCGTCACTCTCCTCATCATCGTCATCATCATATTCCCCATCGTATGGGGTCTCAACCGGCTCAGTTCCTGGTTGATACGTTGAATCCTCCTCGGATTCGTAAGACTCATTCACTGTATCAGCATGACCGTCACTCACGGTCCGATCTTGGCCCCCACGGCCTTGTCCCCTGGACACTCTAGAAGCCCCTCTACTACCTTGCACTGACCCTCCCGGTGCTCGGCCAGTCGGGTTCCTTCTAGTTACTTTCCCGGTACGTTCCATTTCTGAAAGAAGTTGAGAATGAGTCATTAGACTCGTATCAAATGTCAATTCACGGATAGGCACTTGAAGACATCTTTTGGCTCAAATCACCGCCATACCAATTGTTAAGGTTACCATCTTAACAATTAGAGACATTGCAACTCAAGTACCAAAAGTTCTATAAGTACAAAACTTCTTATGCTCATGGTTTTCAATTTCATTTTCAAAAAGAATTTTGAAGCTTCATTATGATGTTTACGGACTAAGTCTCTGATACCAATTAAATTGTCACGCCTCGGACCTAGCCGGACACATCAACAACCCGCCGTACAGTACGAATAGTCAACCGCAGTTCAACTCATCCATACTATACAAGGCGTCTTGAATACCATTCACACGTAGTACATCCATAAACAAACATAATGTAAAACATTTATTTAAAACAGCGGAAACATTTAATATAAGAGTTTATGTCACACTTTGGCGAACATGGGCATACAAGCCCCCAAATAATTATTCAAAAAATATATCCATGAGCATTGTTATAATTGTTTTGAAACAGAAACGAAGGAAGCACGAACCACGTCTTCTCTCCTAGAATCTCCCCGTAGCCACAGGCGATGGCAGCAAGCTCAGCTCCTACCTGAAACTGTGAGGTGGCCTCACCCGTGAAGGGGAGGTCAGTACTTGGAAACATTTGACAAGTACAATGACAACTATACTAAGTATAATCAATGTTTCAATTTCAAAGACCCTCAATCTAGGGTGATGTTATATTATAGGCCATAACCCTCGGTTACCCCTTTTATAAAAATGCACTCACTTTATATAAAGTCAAGTAATCGGCCCGTGGGCACTTATTCATTTAGAATTCACCATTTTAATTCCCCGTGACTACTAGTCACGCCAACCCCGTAGGGTTCCTTTGAGTCCCGATTATATAGCAAGGGCTCGGCCCAACAACATTTCTATACAACCCTTCAACTCAATTTAACACATTAAAATTACATGGCAAGGGCTCGGCCCAACTACGTATCCATACCAACCACAACTTCGTGACAAGGGCTCGGCCCAACTACGTTTCCACGAAAATCACAAATACACGGCAAGGGCTCGGCCCAACTACGTTTCCGTGCTAATCACATTACATGGCAAGGGCTCGGCCCAACTACATTTCCATGCAATTCTAGAGTCCGACTCTAATTCCTTTTCAGAATCCAATTCTCAAGAAAATCATATGTCTAGAATCAATCCACTTGGGTAGCCTTTAGGCTTACCCCTAACACACCTTAGTGTTCATACAATTCAACCTTAAAGTATCTCTTAAGACTACTTAAGGCAAATCTATTCACCATTCTATCCCTTAGGATTAATTCCATTATATTATTCTCCCGACTAGTATTTTAATAATAGTGGGTTAGTCTTAGAACATATCAAGTTCTTAATTCAAATTGACATTTCTTTTCAATTGATTTTCCAATCCAAATATAATTTGATCCCAATATCAAAAATATCACTTTTATCCATTCATGAATTTCATACATGAAGTAAAAGTATATTTTATCACAATATTTACATAGTTAATTCCATTATCATGTCATTCCTTTCATGTCACATAACCATACACAATTTATTCTAATTAATTTGTATATCATGCTTCTTTTACTCATATCAATAGTATTTTCATTTAAGCATTATTTCTCATTAATAACCCATGAAAATCACTTTTAATACCTTAGGAAATATTATGAAATTAACTCACTAATTATAAGCAATATAGTCAGCCATCCTCACCTCGTGATGTGCTACAATAGTTGCCTTTGTTAAGCCTCTCGATCAATCCCCGTTCTAGGCCGATCGAAAGTGGAAAACTGGACTGCTGGGCAAAAGTCGGGCTGCTTTCACGAAAGCCGGGCGGCTTTCGTAGTCTGCAACTACGAACAGCTCCCTATATGTGGCGGTTTCCGGCGATTTCGACTCCTATCGATTCACCAACTCTTATAAGTTAATTAACATCAATTTATAACAATATTCTACACTTTTAAACGTGTAGAACTCGAGGTTTAATCCACCATATGATTCCTTAAAAATCATACACAATAAAACTAGTTAAAAGAACCATATGTGTTCTTACCTCAAGGCTTAACTTTTTCCTCTATGGATTTCCCTTCCTTCTAGCCTCCTCCAAGCTTGTAGTTGTGAGAGATGTTTCAGCCCCTTATCCCTTTCCTAACTGTTCGTATGGTGTGGAGAGGAAGGAGAAAAATCTCTTCCAAATCAATGGGCAAATCTTGTCCAAGACAAGGTATGGGGTATGAGGTTTTGTCTCAATGAGACTTCCCACCTAATATGCACGCCCCTAACTGCCTTCCTTGTCATTTGTAACACATAAGGACGTGAGGTGGCCCCCACTCATGTGGGAGGTCATCCCATTATGTTCCGGTATGTGTAATCGGCACCGAAAGTTGTATTTCCCGGACTGTTTTAATTATATTTTATTTTATCGGGCCTAATAAAATATATCACGCGTTCCTAATAATTATGGGCCTTTAGAATAGATGTACATTCCCCAACATTAATTTAGGAGTCTCGGAAACTCATTTCGGGCTGTTATCCGCTAAATTACCAATACCGGTAATTGGGCCTCGTTTGACCCACCGGTCAACTCTATGCCCTTCCCATTGCCCAATTAAAATATCCACCTCCATATAGATGTCATCTAGACCAAGATGAATATAATATGTGGTTCGGGAATTATCGGGCGGTCCCCGTTCCCACTGTGGGCCCCACATGCAATTTACTATTCACGTAAAAGAAATAATAAAATTTAACAATTACGTAAATTCATAACTCATCCTTCAAGGTTTATTACATAATTTACTAAAAGTAAACATGCTTGGGGACGGTGTCACAGTGGGGGTATGACGGCGGTACGAGGGGGGGGGGGGGTAGAATGGCGGTAGCTTAGGGTGGGGCTGCAATAGGGGGCATGTGGGAAGGGGTAAGGTAGGGGTAAGGGGTAATATACGAGGTGGGGGTAGGGTGGGTCGGGGTGGGGTTGAGGTGGTAGGGGGGTGGCGGTAGGGTAGGGTGGATCGGGGTGGGACCGAGGTAGGGGCATGTGGTAGGGGGTGGGGGTAGGGTCATTGTAGGGAAAAGGGGTATGTGGGGTGGGGGTTGGATGGGTAGGGTAGGGTAGGGGTAATGGGTAAGGTATGAGGATATGGAGGTACTAGAATGGAATCGACATCGGAGCAGGACTGGACCCACCACTAGGTGTAAGTATGCAAATTCATTGCAGTGCCTGTAGCATCTGCGTTTTCTAAATTTGGAAAACTAGTAAAAGTCACTTCTGCAAATCATTAAGGAAAAGAGAGACATGTCTCATTTTTTTTCGTTTTGGAAAACGGTTTGGTAAACGCGTTTTTCTGTTTTCCTTTCTCCAGTTTTCCATCAATTTTCTATGGTAAACACGTTTCCTATTTTCTGTTTTCTAGTTTTCAAGTTTTCTGGAAAACTGGAAAATATCTCTGTTAGTAAACACGCCCTAATATTTTTGTTCGGGAAAACTCCGTTAGTAACATACACATAGTATGTCATTTTTTCATATTAACATTACTACTTGGCCCAATACACATTTTAGTTCGGCCCAAGCATAACTGATCCTCCCACTCAGTTCAGTGCCAGCTATCTCCGTCTCCTCTTCTTACTGCCCTTTCTCTTCTGTGTGCCAATTCATCCGATCTATCATCTCTTTACCCCTCATCTGTCAGCCAGACGGTCGTAAGCCTCTCTCCGTTCATCTCTTCTTCCCCTTAGGTCGGACGAAGTCTACACCACGCGGTACGTCATTTTTTATCCTATTGTTAGTCGATTATTACCGCCTGCTTATTTTAAAATTAAATACAGATAGAGAAGGGGACAACACCAAATACCGACTTTTATTAATTAAAATTGAATACCGATAGAGAGAGGGATAACACCAAAACCTCTCTAGAGAAGACATTCATCCTCAAAATACCTGAATTAAGATAAAAGAGAAAAGAAAATTTGAGTGTGAAACCTGACCCAATTAAAAATACATTGGTGAAAAATAAAGATGAAGCAAATAGAATCAAAAGGAATGATAGATGAAACTTATTTAACAACGGATGGAAGGAATATCCATTTTATCAAGGTCCAGCAAAGAGAGCGTATTTACCGTTTATGATTCATTTAAGAAATAATTACATATATATGGCTAAAATGAATATGGTTTACAAAAATGTGATTAGTGACTATAGTAGTAACTTAGTTATAATAACTTAGTTACACTTAAGTAACTATAAGTCACGTTTTTGGAAGTAAATTCATTTCAATAATATTTTAAAAAAGACATCTTTAATATTTAAGATGAACTTAATTCAATTAATCACTCTTAAATATGCTTGAACGTTGCATAAGAATGCCTTAAGTCCTCAATCCTAATTACACTTTTAGAACATTGTCTAAAACATTAAATAATATGTGAATCTCTAGTATATTTTTGGTATAATATAAGTATGACTTTTATGTATGGATCCATCCACTATATGATGCAAATGTCATATGTATGAATCTAAAAAATCAATACGAACTCATAATCGAATAGCTTGTGAGCTTTTTGAGTTGGGTTTGTACATACCTCGAGTTTGTCTTGGTTCATGTGTAGTTCAAGTACAAGTCAAGTTTCAATCGAGTCAAATTTAATTCTAGCATGAAGTGAGGAGATCTAAAGTTACTTGTGATTAGCATCTAATCTCAACTATTTAATTTATTGTTCAATTTTGGTCAAATTTTGTGGAAGAGAAACATACATGATAATAAAATGAAGGAATTTTATCAATTCAGGACCCGAAAGATAGTTTAATTATCAATTCAGGACCCGAAAGATAAAACGTATCAGTATAGCACCCGAATGATGGAAAACTATCAATTTAGGACCTAACATTCATAGGTTTTGATTTATTTAATTTTTTATTAATTCCATTACTATTTTTTGATAAACTTTTCTTCACAAAAGTTTATTAGTTTAATAAAATGAAATAATATTTAAAATTTTTTAATAAAAAAATTATGACAACTTAGGTCCTAGATTAATAGTTTTCAATCATTCAGATCCTAAACATGGTTTAAAAAGGCGCTTATGAGGCGGGTTCTGAGGCGCGCCTCAAGCTGAGGCGTACTGGTTGGGTATCAAGGCGTAGTTTTTTTCGCAGGTAAAGAGGCTTACGCCTCATAGATTGAGGCGCACGCCTTGAGGCGTGCCTTGAGGCGTTTGTTGAGGCGCACGCCTTGAACACTTGCGCAGTGATTTAAAACAGGTCCAAGTATTTCATTTAATAAAAGCCCAGATTTCTTTCTAAATAGAATACTAAACCCTAACAAGTCTTATTTCATTCAAATCATGATAAGGATTTGAAGGATTTGAACCTTAACGTATATTTTCTATTCACCTACGCAAAGAACTCTCTCTTCTCCTGCGACATCTCCTTACAACAGCCCAAAAGCTTCCAGGTAACTTTTCTTCTCCTCTCTTCTTCTCCATCCCCTTCTCTTTCTCCTATTCTTATTCAACTCCTCTCCTTCATTTCTTCTCCTTCACTGCTTTTTATCCTTCTTTTACGGAACTGTTCTTCTTCTTCTTCTTCTTCTTCTCCTTCACTACTTCTTATCCTTCTTTTACAAAACTGTTGTTCATGTTTTCTAACTGCTAAAGGATTTACTTTGCTTCCTTAGTCATGTCATTAATAATACTTCTGTGTAGATTTAGTTTAATGGTGAGAGGTTCAAAGAAAAGATGTCATGCTTCTACTGCTACACCTAGTAGTTCTGAAGGCCTTGGTGATGCAATTTGTGTGGGTTGTTTCTGTGTGTTTGTGAGACTGTGATGTGTCTGTTTTTGTGAGATGTTTCTTTTTGTGTGTTTGAAGCCTAGCGACTTACTGGTAATAGGTCACATGTATTTGTGTCTCACACTTTTTGGACTTATAATTATGGATATCCTTTACTTCATGAGTTGTTTGTTACTAGTTTAATTATATCAAGTTTTATATGTCTGTATTTTTTGAGGCATACGCCTCAAGGCTTACGCCTCGCCTCTTAGGAACAAACCACCTTGAAACCCCAACCCGCCTTTTTAAACCTTGATCCTAAATTGATAGTTTTTCATCATTCGGGTCCTATATCGATGCATTTTATCTTTTAGATCCGGAATTGATAATTAATCTATCTTTCGGGTCCTGAATTGATAAAATTCCTAAAATGAAAAGGCATATCAAGGATGTAATGGTGCATATCCATAACACGGGGTGAGGAAGATCGAATGTTACTTGTGATTAGCACCTAATCTAAACTGTTTAATTTATTGTTCAGTTTTGGTCAAATTTGGTGGGAGGGAAACATACATGATAATAAAATGAGAAGGCATTTAAAGGATGTAATGGTGCAGATCCACAACACAGAGTGAGGAAGATATCTTTCTCTTCTATCGAACTCTCTATTGCGGCCAAAGTACGTAGCGGTTAAAATGGGAATGAACATGGGCTTCCTTGTCGGCACTTTTGGTGTTCTCTTTCTCTCCAACGCCGCCTACTCCACAATCCAGTGTATCCCCAATTTCGTCAATCAACCTTATACTCACAATAGGGTTTATTTCTTTCCAATAGATAAGAATTATCTACATGATTCTCATTTTCTACGATTTCTTTTTTAATTTTGAAATGCAGATAAGGCTTTGCTTAAGATCACCGAGGAAGAGTTCTCTGGTGCTCCTTTAGACGTAAACTCCTCCACCTCCATTGCTCTTTTGAGTAATTCTTTTACAAATTCAATATTTTTTCTTTTCACTTGCAGGTGGTTATTAAGTTGATTTTAGGATTAGTATTGTGCATGTGGGCTGCCCTCATAGTGCCCGGAAAGTTTTTGTCTATTCATCCTCAATCTGATGAGAACAGGTTTGTCTCTTTGCAAGAATTGTTTATGAATTGTGGTTATGAATTTGTATATTGCAGATTGTAGAGTAACCTCATCTTGATTTAATGATCATCAGTGAAGCAATTGCTCGTTTGGGTTATATTTTGATTTGAGATTTTTCAAAGTTATTTTTTTACTTAGGAGTTGGGACAAGTAGTGATTTTAAGTGGTTTCTGTTATGTCAAGATCTTCTAATGTGTCTTACTTTCTCTTAATCGCCCGTTAATACTATTTAAATGCTTACTTTTAATGATGATATTGATTAGGCCTTTAAAAGACTGTTAGGGAGTATTACTCTTGTCACATGTCTTGATCGTGTTGGATGAGTGACTGGATGAGTGACTGGAAAAGAAAGAGATATGTTCTGACTCCAGATGTTTTTCGTTGGAGTGGAAAGTCGAAGAAAAGTTGTTGGGAATTGGATATATTTTCTCTCTCATATAATACTAGTTTGAACTACCCCACCGTAGGTGGGAGCCTTTGAGGCACTGGGGTAAATGAAAATGATGAAATGATGATAATACTAGTTTGAACTCCTCACTACCTTGCGTCCGTGTATCTTATATTTTTTGTGTGAGTAGTTAATTTTTTTGGGGTATTTGGATACTTCTTCTTTTAAAATGGAGGGGGTAAAGAAAGTAAAGAAAAGGGTTGACAATAGATATTAATGGATGATACCATGAAATTATCTAATGGTTTATGTAGCTGACTCCACCCCATTGCGTTGTTGTCAAAGATTAGGAACTGAAGGAACACTATTGAGTCATAGAGCGTATTGGAATTATTCTTCGACACAGAGATGCGTATTGGCGCATCTAGGTCTTCATCAGATGCCTTTCATTTTGAATATCTTAACCAATTTGTATTTGTATTATGATATTCTAGCTTTACTTCCCCTTGCACTTAAGGTGTTCGGTTGGTGGGCACTAGAGGGGGTGGGGCAGGATTGATTTTTGTTTGATAATTTATATGCATGTTTTAGTCTTAGAATGTAATAATATGATAGGCAGCCAACTCAGCAGCCTATTAAATATTTTGAAAAGGTCTATCAAAGAAAGAAGGGAAGGGCTATTCAGTAATTAGTTTCTGAGTTAGTTATTCTCTTTTGTCCCTGCGTGGACACTTCTACTATAAATAGTATGCTATGAGATAATAAATGCAGGCTGTTGTTTTGTTGGATGTCAGAACCTTGGAGATTGGGCCTCTCAAAATCGCCCCTGAGCATTGTATCCCTGTGATCGGTTCAGTTGGTTAATAAGATTTTACGATCATCTTCCTTACCTTTCATCCGGTGTTTACTATTGATATTATCATTGTCTATCAATGGTATCAGAGCACTAGCTCCTGGGGATCGGAAATCTACTGGCGACCACAGGGCACCTTCGTGACAGCGGTGTATGGTCAAAACGAGGTCAAAAATGGAGAACAGAATCAAGGAAATGAAAACGGGAATGGCAAACCTCACAGCAATGAGTGAACAGATGCAGAGGAATTTCGCAGACTCGATGGCAGCTATGAGTGAGCAGATTCAAAGCCTCCATGTGCGGTCACATGGGCGATCACGATCGCAGCACCATCAACAGTCGCGATCGCCACATAGCTCACCGTCGTCGAGAGGTAATTCCGTTCAGTCTCCCACCTCTACTCGTCATATTCATACGGGCAGGAAGGTAGATCTACCCCTATTTAACGGAGAAGGAGCTTACAACTGGATTGTAAGGATGGAGCGATACTACAGATTGAACCAAATAGAGGACGAGGACAAGGTAGAAGTTTCAGTGGTGGCCATGGAGGATCGCGCCTTGAACTGGTTTCAGTGGTGGGAACACCAGGCGGAAGAGAGAACCTAGGAAAACTTGAAGGATGCAGTGATCCGCAGGTTTCAGCCGGATCTAATACAAAATCCATACGGGCCCATGTTGAGTCTGAAACAAACGGGTACTGTGAAGGATTACCGGGACGAGTTTGAAATGGTTATAGCTCCTTAGAGAGATGTGGACAGAGGTATTTTGCGAGGCATTTTCATCAATGGTCTAAAGGAGGATGTTAAAACTGAACTGAAACTGTATAATTCCAAATCCTTATCTGCCATCATGGATAGGGCATTGTTGATTGAACAAAGGAATGATGCAGTTTATTTGAAGAATAAGGTGGAAGATAGGGCCCAGGGGAGGGATAAGGGCACTTTTAATGTTAAGTCCCCACTGTGGGGAGAAGGATTCAAGGCGAAAAGTGGACACCCTTGGCCAAACCATGGAGGAAAACATACTGCAGATAATAAGGGGAAACAGTCGTGGTACACTCCTTCAGGGGCAAGGGTGACTGAAATCAACCCTTCAGGTATCAAGCGTGTAGGGCCACAACTATCTCAAGAAGAATACCAAGACATGAGTAGGAAGGGGCTGTGTTTCAAATGTGGAGAGAAGTGGAGCAGGGAACACACCTGTAAGCTAAAGAATTTCAAACTCATATTAGTAGAAGATTCTGAGGAAGAGATGGAGCCAGAATCAGCAGAGCCTGAATTAGCTGAAGAAGAGGAAATCACTATGGAATCAAAAACCATGCAACTATCTGTGATGAGCAAAGAAGGGATACCTTCCATGAGGGCCTTCAAGGTGAGGGGCAAGCTGACATGGAGCCAAGGGGAATTTCCAGTGGAGGCATTGATTGATAGTGGGGCGACCCACAACTTCATATCTCAAAGGCTGGTAGAACAGTTGGGCATCCCCTGTCAGACTATATCTGGGTACAGGGTCCAGATTGGGAATGGTGACAAGATTTCCAATAACTGCAGATGTGAAGGATTGAGCCTTAAGTTACAGGACACTATTATTCATCAGAATTTCTATGTATTGGAATTAGGGGGGACTGATTTGATTCTTGGCATGGAGTGGCTGACTACACTGGGAGATGTAGAAGTTAATTTCCATAAGCAATCCATTACATGGAAAAGGTTGGGGGTCAAACAAATCATCTTAGGGGACTCCCAGCTCAATTCCATTGAAGTCTCACTTCAGACTATGACCAAGATCATCCAGGACAATGGTGATGGGTATCTTATCCTTTGTGAAGGCATCCTGACAGAAGAGAAAGAAGAACACCAGAATGATCAGGGGTGGACAGAATTATTGACAGATTTTCAAGAGGTAATCCAGCCATTACAAGGGTTACCACCACCAAGAGCATGTGATCATGCTATCAATATAAAGGAGGGAGCTACTATACCCAACATTAGACCTTACAGGTACCCTCAATATCAAAAGAATGAGATAGAGAAGATAATCAAAGAGATGTTGCAATCCGGGATCATTCAACACAGTAACAACCCCTATAGTAGCCTTATATTACTAGCCAAAAAAAAGATGGGGGGTGGAGGTTTTGTGGAGACTATAGGGCCCTAAATCAGATTACTATTCCTGACAAATTCTCCATACCAATTATTGAAGAGCTGTTAGATGAACTGGGAGGTGCAACAATCTTCTCAAAGTTAGATCTCAAATCTGGATACCACCAAATCAGGATGAAGGAAATGGATAGACAGAAGACTGCTTTTAGAACCCATGAAGGGCATTATGAATACTTGGTAATGCCCTTTGGGTTGACTAATGCCCCCTCCACTTTTCAGGCTCTAATGAATCAAGTATTGAGGCCTTTTTTGAGAAGGTTTGCCTTAGTTTTCTTCGATGACATCCTAGTGTACAACAAATCTAGAGAAGAACATATCCTACACCTTAGAGAAGTGTTAACTGTTTTGAAGGAAAACCAGTTGGTGATTAATCTCAAGAAGTGCTCATTTGGAAGATCCCAATTGGTATACTTGGGTCATATTATATCTGGACAAGGAGTAGCAGCTGATCCTTCAAAGATAGAAGCCATGCTCAGTTGGCCAGAACCTAAGGATCTGAAAGGTTTGAGAGGATTTCTTGGGCTGACTGGTTATTATAGGAAGTTCGTGAAGGGATATGGTAAACTGGCATTACCTCTTACTCAATTGTGTAAAAAGGACAGTTTTCACTGGGATTCCAAAGCTTCTTCAGCCTTTGCAGAACTGAAGGTAGCAATGACCTCACTTCCTGTGCTAGCAGTACCAGATTTCAACAAGTTATTTATACTGGAGATTGATGCCTCTGGTACTGGGTTAGGGGCAGTCCTAATGCAGGAAAGAAGGCCCATTGCATATATGAGCAAGGAACTATCCAAGAAAAATCAATGTAAGTCAGTCTATGAAAGAGAGCTCATGGCTGTGGTTCTAGCTGTACAGAAGTGGAGACCTTATTTATTGGGAAGGGCTTTTGAGATACATACAGACCAAAAGAGTTTGAGGTTTTTAGCTGAGCAAAGAATAATGGGAGAGGAGCAGCAGAAGTGGACCTCTAAACTGCTAGGATACAACTTTATCATCAAGTATAAACTTGGAATTGAAAATAAAGTTGAAGATGCTTTATCTAGAAGACCTATCCTTCATTCACTCTCCATTGTTACCTGCCAAGAGTGGGAAGGGCTGGAGGAGGAGTTACAGGCTGATTCCAGATGTCATGAGCTAATACAGAAGGTTATTTCTCAACCTGACTTGCATCCAGATTTTCAGATAATAAAGGGGTTATTGTATTATCAAAAGAAGTTGGTGTTACCCGGGCAGTCTCCTAGAGTACTCAAGGTCTTACAAGAATATCATGACTCTTCAGTGGGTGGTCATTCTGGGTACTTTAGAACCATGAAGAGGATAACAAACCTGTTTTATTGGCATGGGATGAAGACTGACATTAAGAATTTTGTGGAGAGGTGTACCATTTGTCAAACCAATAAATATCAAGCCTTAAAACCATCTGGTTTGCTACAACCCCTACCCATTCCTAACAGTATTTGGACGGACATCAGCATGGATTTCACAGGAGGATTGCCCAAATCTCAGGGTAAGGATACAATCTTAGTTGTGGTGGACAGATTGACTAAATATGCCCATTTTTTTAGCTCTATCTCATCCCTACAATGCTAAGGAAGTTGCAGATTTATTCACCAAAGAAGTGGTTAAAATTCATGGGTTTCCTAAATCCATTGTGAGTGATAGGGATAGTGTGTTCATGAGCTCCTTTTGGTCAGAACTTTTCAAATTGGCAGGTACCCAACTCAAATTCAGCACAGCCTACCATCCCCAGACAGATGGGCAAACTGAGGTGGTCAACCATTGCCTAGAAACACACTTGAGGTGCATTACCGGGAGGAAACCTAAGCAGTAGGTTCATTGGCTACATTGGGCAGAGTTTTGGTACAACACCAATTACCATTCCTCCCTGAAACTGACCCCTTACAAAGCCTTATTTGGGCAGGACCCTCCTGCAGTCATCAGGGGGGATGTGACTGCAACTGCTGTAGAAGAGGTGTCCCAATTGACTGCCAGAAGGAATGCTATGTTGGAGGAGTTAAAAGGAACCTAGCTCAAGCTCAAAATTTGATGCAGCAGCAAGCAAATAAGCACAAGAGGGAGATAGAGTTGGCAGAAGGTGAGAAGGTGATCTGGTTTTTCTAAAGATACAAACCTACAAACTTAAAAGTCTGGCCAAAAGGATAAATCAGAAGCTCAGCCCCATGTTTTATGGTCCTTTTCAGATTCTGGAAAGAATTGGACCTGTAGCTTATAAGCTGAAACTCCCAGAAGATAGCCGAATACATCCAGTCTTCCATGTTTCTTTATTAAAGAAAGCATTAGCTCCTACTACTGTGGTCCAGAATCTGCCCAAATGCCTCAATGAAGAATTAGAACTGCAAGTGATACCAGAGGAAGTGGTAGACATCAGAAGAAATCAGGAGGGAAGGAAGGAGGTTCTCATACACTGGAAGGATCTACCAACGTTTGAAGATTCTTGGGAAGAGGTACAGGTGATGGAGGAAATGTTTCCAGAGTTTCACCTTGAGGACAAGGTGAATTTGCAGGGAGGAGTATTGATAGGCAGCCAGCTCAGCAGCCTATTAAATATTTTGAAAAGGTCTATCAAAGAAAGAAGGGAAGGGCTATTCAGTAATTAGTTTCTGAGTTAGTTATTCTCTTTTGTCCCTGCGTGGACACTTTTACTATAAATAGTATGCTATGAGATAATAAATGCAGGCTGTTATTTTGTTGGATGTCAGAACCTTGGAGATTGGGCCTCTCAAAATCGCCTTTGAACATTGTATCCCTTGATCGGTTCAGTTGGTTAATAAGATTTTACGATCATCTTCCTTACCTTTCATCTGGTGTTTACTATTGATATTATCATTGTCTATCATAATATAACTTGTTTGGTTGAATTTTCATGTATCTCTGCATATTTTTCGTCTCCACTTTCTATCACATCTTAAAATAACAAAAATTGTCCACTTTTGGTCCTTGACTTGTGCTTATTCCAGTTTAGGCGCAGAACAGTTGATTTCTTGTTAGTTTGTACTCCCTCCGTCCCTGAAAGAATGTCCTAGTTTGACTTCACACATATTAAGGAAACTAATTTAACTTCCCACCGTAGCGACACTTTTTGACACTGTAGCGGCACTGTTTTGCACTGTAGCGGCACTGTTTTGCATTGTTTGACACGGTTTGATATAGATTTGTTTATCAAATAAGGAAGTTAAAGAAGTAGGACATTCATTTAGGGACTTCCATTTTGGGAAAGTAGGACATTCTTTCGGGGACGGAGGGAGTACTTCTTAGCACTTGTCTGGCCATTTTTGTTTTACATTTTTGGGTTGCTCTTTTGCCAGGTAGATCATTAAAATGATCGTAAGTGAAGAAATCTTTAGTCACTTAATTACTTTACTTTTTATCAATGGAATACGCTTTCTAACTTCTAAGTAGTGAATATATTAATTTGATGGTGCTCTCTGATGTGTAGGGTTGTTACTCTACCTGGAAATCTGGATTTTATGATTTTCAATCACCGTGGGAAGGCATTTCCTCAGGAAGTAGTTGATTTGAAGGGAGGCTTCTAGGAAAACTGAGCATGTTTTGTTCATTTGGGGATCCATTACGGTCTCTATAAGACAGTTAATTTGGTCAGAGCATTAAATTTCCACAGCATGAATATATACGTAGTATTTTATTTAAGCTTTTAAAATATTGTATTCGCTACAGTACATTGGTCTGTAGCTTATACCCTCCTCTGACGCTGGTCGTATTGTTTTTCTTTGAAAAATTGTTCTCTTTTTTAAAAAACAGATCAATTTTTCTTGTCATTAGAAAGCCTTTTTTCTTCTTCTGCTTTTAGATGAGATATTTCACACATGATACGTAATTGTTCAATTTTTCTGATAAGTGTGGTTTAGTTGAGATGGTGAATATGTTATGCTGCTCGATAATTATAGTTATGATATAACACAAATGATCAGGTCCGAACGTTCGGACCTAGGCCTAGGGGTGGACCGGGCCCGGTCCGGTTCGGGTTTGGGCCCGGCCGATCTTGGATGGTTTTGGGTAAGGCCCGAGACCGGCCCGGGAGTCTGCCGGTTCCGGTTTAATTGTTTTTTTTTGTGTTTTCTTATTTATTTCAACCACCACCCCCATCCCCCTCCCACCCCCAAACCCCTCGAAAACACTCATCCCAGCCCAAACCCAAAAAACCCAAAAAAAGGCCGAACCGGGCCCGGTCGGGCCGGTTCACTCTTTTGGAGTCCTGGAACCGTCCCCGGTTACCCCCTCGGGCTGGGCCTAAGCCCGATACCAGTACCGGTCACCTGGGTCGGTCCGGTCCCGCACAGTAGCGGACCGGGCCAGTTTCTGGGCCGGTCCGATCGGATTAGATCCATGGCTACCTGGGCCTCCATCCGAACATTGCTGTTCGGGGTGGTTCTTGGTCGAATTTTTTGATGAAAATTTTATGGTATGGTCTTCATCAAGTCTAATTTATCCACAAAAAATTTCAGCTCAATTCGATTAGGAAGACCTTCAAATGATTTTTTGAAGTTGACTGCGTTTTTCTATGTATAATTTGGCGCAGTCAACTTCAAAAAATCATTTGAAGGACTTTCCAATCGAATTTTGAGCTGAAATTTTTTGTGTATAAACTAGACTTGATGAAGAACATACCATAAAAATTTCATCAAAAAATTCGACCGGGAACCGCCCCAAACGGCGGTGTTCGGTGTGTGCCTCTTGTCCGAACGTTCAGACATGATAAGTTCTCTATGATATAAGTGCATTGAATATGAAAATACACACTTAGGTGTGTTTGGGAGTTGAGTTTTGGAGGGAAGGGGACAGTTGACGGTTTTTGCTCCTCCTTTTCATGTTTGAGAGTTTAAAAATATGGAGGGGATGGTTTTGGAGGGCTGTTGTTAGGGGTGGACTCGGGCCAGGCCAACCGGCCCGGAACCGGACCGGCCCGCCACTGTGCGGGCCCGGACCGGCCCGGGAACCGGTTCGTTGGCCGGTTCGGGCCACCCGGCCCGGTAGATTCTCGGTTCGGGCTCGGGCCCTTCAAAAGGTGAACCGGCCCGGCCAGTTCGGGCCCGGGCTGGGCCAATTTTAATTTTTTTTTTGATTTTTTTTTGATTTTTTGGGTTGGGCTGGTTATTTTGGGCCATTTGAGGTGGTTAGGGTTGGTTTGGGGGTGAGGGGGAGGGGTGGGGGTTAACTAGGAAAAGCCCAAAAAAAAAATACCCGAGGCCCGGCCCGGCCCGGACCCGGGGATTACCCGGGCCGGTTCCGGGCCTCCCCTTCTTGAACCGAGGCCCGGCCGGGCCCAGGCCCGAACCGGGCTCGAACCGGCCCGAGTCCACTCCTAGCTGTTGTAACCCTTCAAATGTTCAATTTTTAAGTTCTCCAAATTGGGGGATTTTAAACTTTAAAGGTTAAATATTTGACACCAACCAGAGGTCTTCATTGATGAAGAAATGGAGGAAAGAAACAAGAGGGAGGCATTCATTAAATTTAATTGTATAGTTATACACTTATACCTATGAGTAGACCCAGTATCGGTCCTATTCCAGTTCCTTCCTGGACTGGCCGATTTTAATTTATGAGGGGCAAAAACCAACCCAAACAGTTTTAAAGATTATTTTTAAATTTAATATATTAGAAATATAAATGAAAAATGTTGCACATTAAAAATGAAATGTAGATTCATTTGAAACATGACATTAACTTAGACATTTGCAAATTACAATTATAGTTACATATATTTCCTATTCGTCGTCAGTCGCCAATCCCACTTTCGGCGTCGGTTGCCGCTTCCTACATAAAGTGGCGGGGAGGTGTTATGTTAACTTCTAGAGTTCTATGGTGGACCTTCAACCAATTGTGGAAGCAAATGAGCGTCTCAAAAGATTGCGCATCCAACCTCGTTTTACAATCAGTTAGAACGTTTCCGCCTTCACTAAACTTTTGTTCCATTACAACCGTTGAAGTTGGCAATGACATCATTTGTTTTGCCATTTTTAATAATAATAATAATAATAATAATAATAATAATAACGATAATAACGATAGTAACGATAAAAACGATAATAATGATAATAATGATGATAATGATAATGATAATAGTAATAATAATAATAATAATAATAATAATAATAATAATAATAATAATAATAATAATAATAATAATAATGATGATGATGATGACGACAACGACGACGATGATGATGATGATGATGATGATGATGATGATGTTGATGATGATGATAATAAGGGAAAAGTACGTAAAATTTATCAGATAGGGTCATGTGTTTCATTCTTTATCAAAGTAGTTCATGTGTTTGAATTCCGTTATCACAAGATGGTCACGCCGTTAAAAACGTCTGAAAAAGACCATTAAAAGTAACTCCGATTTTCAAAAGTGCCCGAAAAATTAAAAGAAAAATACCGAAAGGTGCGCCTCGTCAAGATGACCTCCAAACCACCTTCACCTTTGAATTTTTCAGATCTGTTTAAATTATTTTTAAAAAATGATTTCGCTAATTATCATTTTTCCGATGGACTTTCCGGTGGCAAGGGTGACTGAAAACAAAAAAGAAAGATGGCTTAGCGGTCGTCTTATTGAGGCACACCTTCCGAGATTATTCTTTTAATTTTTCGGGCACTTTTGAAAATCAGAGTTACTTTTAACGGTCTTTTTCAGACGTTTTTAAGGCGTGACTCTGTTGTGATAACGAAATTCAAACGCATGAGCCACTTTGATAAAGAATGAAACATATGACCCTATCTGAAACGGGCTCAACCACAAGTATTTTTTTCCGTACATTTCTCTAATAATAAATGCAACTACAATGACGACATCCAATTATGTTTACTACTCATTGTAATACGAAATGGAAAAAATAAGATTTAAGAAAAATGTTTTGTGTACACATTTTGTACATTCGTCTATCTCACGCACATATAATTGTCTGTCCACGGACAACTCTGTAGAATTGTCTGTGGACAGACATTTTTTTACGTGTGAGACAAACGAGTGTAAAAGATGTGTACACAAAAATGTGTACACCTAGCACAACTCAAGATTTAAATTCGAATTAGGTCTGCACATCATTCTAATTGAAAGGGTTGAACAGGAATGTTATGAAAAAAAGGATGACAACCCATCCTTGAGGGCCCCTCAACACCGACCGAACGGTACGTTGGGAGGATGTAAATTGGACTATAATCACAATATGACAGATAGAGAGCCGGGCTCTGTCCCCGGTACTTGTAGAGGCCTTATGCATTTTTTTAAGCATAGTAACCTCTCATCGTAGTTGTCGGGATTCGATCTCGGAATCTAACCCTTGTGTCACTCCTTTGTGCCCAACTGGCTACAGAATACTCCATATTAATCAAGGGAGTGAGATTGGACTTGGTTGTCAATACGGCCCACGAAAGTGGCCCCCTTAATAGGTTTGTGGCATGTCTTGTTCTTGTTTAGGGCTCGCCAAAATGATTTGGTTTGATCGAATCAGATCGAACCGAAAATTGGTGTTTTAGTTTGGTTTGGTTTGGGTTTAGTTAAGTAAACCGTTTTGTAACAATATGCTCAAATCGAATGATTTGATTTAGTTTGGTTAAAAACCAAAAAACCGTAAACTGAACCCAACATCGAACGACTTGTAATAAATTTCAAATGACTATGAACCAAATTAAGATCATTAAGTCTTAATAAACTGAGCTTTTGGTGAAACGTATAGTTTCTATGAACCAACAAGCAACTTTTGGTAAATCAGGGTCTTAACGGTCGTTGTGCGCCATAAGGCCATGCGCGTGCTTGGTGTTCCCGAGTGCTTTAGAAGTTTTGTCATGTTTCATGGAGGCGGCTCCACCTCACACTCATATAGGTGATCTCAACAAGTGTGTACCGCTTTTGCACACCACCCATAAGAGCAATGATGATCAACCCCTCAAAGAATGCGGTTCTAGTTTATATCTCACATCATGGAAATGGACTTTTTTACTTAGGCTAGGAGAAGAAATAAAGGACTTGTTATTATTCATATGACTTGTTTCATGGAATCTTCAATCACACAAGTTGGGTTCTCATTCCTATTTATTTCAAAGTGACACTAGTCTCATTTCCTTCGATGATTCGGTTATCATTTTTCGTCCTATGGCTTTTGTCAAAGGAGTAGTTAATTCCTTTTCATTTCACAAAATTAATTAAAACAATTACATGGATGTGGATGCCCTAATCAACAAACTAGTCATCAATAGTTTGGTGCAACGTTCGAGCATATCGTTCAAAAAATTCATTTTCATTATAGGTATAACATTAGTATGAAGAGATAAAAGTAGAATGTGTGTATAACATGTACAAACATTTATTATTAAATTGTGAAAAATAACTTAAATGCATCAAACTTTAATGTAGTGTGAGATAGGTACCCCAAACTTGTATATGTAATATACTACTCCGTAATATAAGTTTTGAAAAAATTTGACATTTTTGAAAAAAAAATAATACTCCGTACATGACCATGGTGCTAAAATAAGTTTTCGTATAAATTTTAGGGTTTAAATTACATATGCAAGTTTGAGGTGCTTACATCACACTCCTTCAAAATTTGGGGTATTTTAATTATTTTTTGCCTAGTTATTTTTATACCCCCTCCGTATTAATTGAAAGTTCTGTACAATAGGGTTGAACACAACAGTTAAGAGTGAAATAGTATGGGTAATGAATAGTGTAGAAAAAGTATGAGAGAAAGTGTAAAAGTATGAAAGAGAGAATAAAAAGTAGAAAAAGTAAGCGTGAACGAGTAATTTTAAAGGAAAAACATACCAAAAAGAAAAAGTGTAGCAAACTTTTAAATACATCCAAAATAGGAAAGTGTAGCGAACTTTAAAATATACTCCGCAG